AGGCACACACAGACTCTTTCCTTTGCAGGCGACTCCTTCTTTGCATCATTCCTATTACAATGGCTTTCTGCACAACCTCATTTATAATGACCGTGTGTTTGCCTACCTGTTTTTTGTTTGTTTGTTTTTGCCTTTTCAGTAAAACAGAACACGTTTCTCAATAAAATTCAAGATAAATAACAAAAAAAGAATACAATGAACAATAGGTCCATCAATGGCTATTCGCCACGAGAGCTAAAATAAACCTTCACAGTTAACAGAAGAGCATCTGCTTTGTATGTAGAAGATCCCAGGTTCAATCCCTGGCATCACCAGGCAACAGGTGATGTGAAAGACCTCTACCTGAGGCTCTGGAGAGCCACTGCCAGTCTGAGTAGATAACACTGACCCTGATTCAGTATTGGGCAACTTCATGTATTTCTTTTATATTTCTCTACATCGGCCGGGAATTGAACCAGCGCCCCTCCCGTGGTGGGCGAGAATGCTCCCCCTGCACCACCAATTCAGGTGGGGTGTGTGAGAGCCAGCGTGGAGTAGTGGTTAAGAACAGTGGACTCTAATCTGGAGAACTGGGTTCGATTCCGCACTCCTCCACATGAAGCCAGCTGGGTGGCCTAGGGTCAGTCACAGCTCTTTCAGAGCTCTCTCAGCCCAAAAATCAGTCTAGCTCACCCCTAAAAGAGCTAGAACTCAAGGCTGCCAGACACTCTTACGATCTGCTGGCTATACTACACACAAAGCCACACGATAATTAATTAATTAGCTTCATGTGTGCACATTCAGAAGAAGTGTACTTTGAATGCCAGTTTGCGGAGGGGAAGAGACTTTGGCCTCTGTCGCCTGCTTGAGGGCCTTCGGGGCGTCTGGGCTGGCCCCTGTGGGTGACAGGATACTAGGCCAGGTGATCCACTGGTGTGACCCAGCAGGGTTCTCCTGAGATTCTACTGGGACCAAACCTGGGCTGAAGAGGAACAATTCCCCCGAACTCATAGAGGGCTACGGGTTTGGAAAAGAAAAGTGGAACATTTGGGGCTCTCTCTCTTTTTTTTTTTTTTGGTAAAAGCAGACAAACTGAAGAGTACTCGTTTGTTTTCACTTTCAACAGCAAATTGGGTTAGAGCGCAGAACGCGTAGACACCACATAGAAACTGTCCTAGCACTTGGCATCTGACGAAGGCAATTTTGACTCTTGAAAGCTTATACTCTGGAAAGTATAAGGTACTACGAGGCTCAGATCTTGCTCTAACACATCTGCAAACCGAGCTTCTGTTTGTGCAGAGAAGCACCTTCAAAAATTAACGGCTTCACGGGGTGAAATATTTCAATATTTATTAAATGCCAACAAAGCAGGGCGAAACAAGGATGTCAGTCCCAGAGATGTTGGCCCCCCCGCTAAACGCCCACTCTCTTTGTAGGCCCCAGGCATACCTTCATGCACTCTGAGGTCTGAGCCACTGGGGGGCAAGCAGCCTGCCAGTGGGCAAAGACAACGCTGCCGGTTCAGTGGAAGGGAACAGAGCAGGGGTGTCGAACTCATTTGTTATGAGGGCCGGATCTGACATAAATGAGACCTTGTTGGGCCGGGCCACGTGTGTCATAAAATGTAATGCCAGGTAGCGGAGATGTAAACTTTATAAAGGTCACACACACAAAGATTTTTTTTACTTAAAATAAAAACATGCTTAAAACATTAGCACTCTCCACAATATTTTGTTCATTTAACAGTGTCTTGCTCTGAATTATTGCATCAAAATGTCTGTGCTGTTGCAATCTTGAGTATGCTGTTCAGGTATGTACCTGCAAGCTGCAAACCTACTTTTGATTTATTGACATTCACCACAGAGATCTCATGCTCAGAGTTCTGAGTCTAGGACCCAGGTTAGAACATGAAATGGCTGAGTGATTAAGAGAGTCTGGCGAAGCAAGCTATGATGCAGCAGCAGAACTGGAAGCAGTAGATGGCCAGTTCCACTACGGGCCTGATAGAAGCCTTCCAGGGGCCTCATCTGACCCCCGGGCCACATGTTTGACACCGCTGGAATAGAGGATGCTCAGCCTTCTACAAGGCAGCCTTCCTTCCACTGGCTGGCTGACCACCAGCACTCCAGATACTCAGGTAGAGACCCTTTTCAGACTGAAGAACTTTGAAAACGGGAGGGGCAGGGGCCTGAGGTTAAGGCCTTATGCACGCAAAGCCTGAACTCTGCAACTGAGCTGAGGCCCCTCGGTTGGCTGCGCAGAGAAAGAAGAGGCAAACCGAATTCTGCCTAGAATATCAGAAGAATTTGCTGGATCCAGCTAGTCTGCAAAAGCAGCCAGCAAGGGGGCCAAATGGAACTGGCAGAATGGACTTCCTGTGATTGGATCCCAGCATCTGGCACTAAAAGGTAGACTGCCTCTAAACATGGAGGTGCCAATTATCTGTACGTATTTGGAACGTTTCGGAGGGCAGCCGTGTCAGTCTGCGGATTTGAGTCCGGTAGCATCTTAGAGACCAAAAAGAGTTTCAGGGATCAGCTTTCGAGAGCCTTTGTCAGACAGGAGCAGAAATGGAGATCGCCAAGTCCTTTTATGTCTGACAAAGGGTGCTTTGATTCTTGAAAGCTTACGCCCCGAAACTCTTGTTGGTCTCAAAGGCGCGACTGGACTCGAATCTCGTTATACAGAGAAAGGGATTTCAGGGCTATCAAGCTGTTGATAATGCCGCTCCTCTTCGAGAATACAAGCAATACGGGGCTCGTACTGTAAATCGCACTCTCATCTGCAAGTCACAAGTCCCCGGGGGCACTGCTGAGAAGTCAAGGGCACGACTGTTATGTGGCACAAACTGGCCACACCAGCCCCCGCCTTCCTTTGCCTTGGCAACAACTGAGAACGGAGCAGGGGGGGATCAGAACCAGCCGCTTCCCCGCAGAAGGAAGTCATGCTTCAGGTTTCATTCAGATAAAAGGATCGCCATAATCAGCTGCCTTTGAAGTCAGAGACTTAAAAGAGACCCCATGCTGGGGAAAAGGCTGCTGCTCTTAAAGGAACAGGGACAGCCAGAAATGCTGCAGTGCCCGGGGTTTGCCAAACCATCTGCTCTGCTGGGCACAAAGTGGGCAGCGCCGGTGGGCTCCTTTCCCCAGCCTTGGCATGATGCCACCTCCCCACCCATCTCACAGGCCTGAAGCTGAGTGTGACCAACACCTTCTGCTTCCTCAAGTAGGGGCCACACTTTACCAGATGGAAAAAACACCTGACTCGTGTCATTCCCACCCTCCAGCAGTCCCCGGTCCCGTAAGTCCTGGGTTCAAATGCTTGGCTTCTGCTCCCAAGCATTTCCCCCTGTTCTAATCAAGCTGAATACAATATGCATTATAATGACAATTCCTGTGCATTCTTCACAAGCATTCTTTACAGACCCCCTCCCACCTTTTGACTTGGATTAAAGGACTTCTATTCTACTGCGTTTGATGGCAAGAGCTTTGACTTGTATACCCCGAAACTCTTGTCGGTCTCTACAGCACTACAGGACTCAAATCGAATTGCTCTACTGCAGACCAACACGGCCACCCTCTGAAACCAATCCTATAAACTTGTTTCATTTCAACCTAACGCAGAAATGGCCGTCTGTTTCAGTGGGCAGGGTGGAAAAAGCCCAGACTTCCCCCCTTGGCCTGCTAATGATGCCCCCCCCCCCCCAGATCAGAACAAAATTTGAGTCCATTGGTACCTTTAAGACCAACAAAGTTTTACTGCCAACCTAGCAGTTCGAAAGCAAGAAATTGCAAGTAGATAAATAGGTACCACTTCAGTGGGAAGGTAACAGTGTTCCGTGCACGTTGGTGTTAAGTCATGCCAGCCACATGACCACAGAAATGTCTTCGGACAGCGCTGGCTCTTTGGCTTTGAAACGGAGATGAGCACCGCAACCCCAGAGTCGGATTCGACTGGCTTTCGAGCAAGAGAACCTTTACCTTTTAAGCAAACTTATTTCCAGAATAGGGGTGTGCGTTCGGCTACATCCAGGCGGAAAAAATCAGAAAAATACCTTATCAGTATTTTCCAGATTTCTTTCAGATAGATAACAGATTTGGCCATTTTTCGGCTATCCGAAATGGCCGGCCCCCAAAAATATTCAGGATTTTTGGGACCACCAGATAACAGAAGTTAAAGGACTTGGAGAAGGTGCTTAAAGGGACCACGGTCCCTTTAAATGCCTTCGGAGTCATGCCACTCATGCAGCTTGGAGAAAACATTTAAAGGGACCCATGATCCCTTTAAACACCTTTTCCGGATCCATTGGTTTCAATGGAGGGTGGGGGCACCCTCTTTGAGGGCCCATAGAACTGGACTCCCTGGTTTAATCTTTTTGAAACTTGGGGGAGAGGAGGTTTGAGGAGCAGCATCAGCAGCGATGCTGCAAATTTGGTGCCTGTACCTCAAAGAACAGCCCCCCCTCCAGAGCCCCGGATATCCCCAGATTGATTCTCCATTATACCCTATGGAGACCAGACCATTGACTATAATGGTCACCATAGGGTATAATGGAGCCGAAAAATTCGGGAACCCCGAATACTTACTGAAACCGAATATCATACAGGTATCGGGATTCGAAAGTATCGATATATTCCGGGTTCGATATATAAAATACTGGGTTGGGGTTTTTTGCCCACCCCTAATCCAGAATAAAATTTTGTTAGCCTTAAAGATGCCACTGGACTCAGACTTTGTTCTACTGCTTCAGACCAACATGGCTGCCCACCTGACTCTCCCTCCCCCCCATCAGGAGGAGGAGGAGGAGGAGGAGGAGGAGGAGGAGGAGGAGAAGAAGAAGGACAGCTTCCTACAAAGAGAAGGCTGACACCCGCAGTCACTCGACTCTGGGAAAAGATGAGCTGCACCAAGCGTGTGACTCCCAGCCTTTCCCTCTCTCCCACGCATCCTGTGCTCCGCTCCAACTTGACCCAAGCCAGCAAGCAGCACCTGGGAAAAGCCATCTTCCCTTCCCTCCTTACCTCTCAATGATGTCAGCGAGGGTGCAAGCAAACATGAGGAGGCCTTCAGGCATCTGCAGTGCCACTGAGAGGGAGAGAGAGAGAGAGAGCACATCAGGAGGGCATCACCTGGTTCATGCACAAGCCTTCGGCCAGGTTCAGGTCCAAAGACCCCAGCCAACATTTTCTCCCATGGAACTAGGCTTTGTAAGCGGGGGTCCTGGGATGTCCTTCTTTATTTTTTAGCCCTCCAAAAACTATTTTCCATGGTACACCTCACTCTGGCATTTGTGACTTCAAGAATCCACAGCTCATCTCAGTCCACCACCACAGTCTCTCCATCCACAGCTCATCTCAATGCCACCAGGACTGGGCAAACCTGATATCGAGGCCTGCCTGAACTCCCAACCCTTTGGTTCTGCTTTAGCCCCTGTTAGGGCAGGGATACTCCTTCCCAAGGCAGAAATACCACGAGGACAAAGACAGTGGAGGGTTAACCCTTCAGATCCTTTCCTTGTTCTCAAAGAGAGGCATTTCAATACTGGGCCATCTGTCCAAAATGTTCCAAGCTGCTGACAAAAATTAAAACCACACGCGCGCGTACCAGACGCAGCAGCAAGTCATCCTCGAAAACCAGTTTGAAAATGACGTTCGGCAACTTTGAGTTTCGCTCTCAAACCTCCTGACTTCCGTGAACAATCTTTCAGCAGCTGAGCATTTAGTCGGGCAGAAGAGAGCCTTTGACCTGACTGGCCGGACAGGAGCTTTTAGCCTACTCTTTATTGTCCTGGAGCGTTCCTGTATGTGGCCCCCACCTTTAGCGAAGACCACCAGATATGCTAAAAGCCAGGGAGGGGGCTCCCATCAGCCGGAACTGGCCCCTCCCCAAAAACCAGATTGCTCAGCCTCCCTCCCTCCAAAATGAACCCCGGAACAGAGGAATGGCCAACTGGTCTCGAAGTGTATCTACAGCTGGAAGTAGGGGTTGGAAAATTCCTGGAAATCTGGGGGAGGATCCTGGGGAGGGTAGAGTTTGGGAAGGGGAGGGACCCCAGTCGAGTACAATGCCAAAGAGGTGCAATGCCACAGAGTCCACCCTCCAAAGCAGCCATTTTCTCCAGGGGGACTAATCTCTGTCGTCTGGAGATCAGCTATAATTCCGGGAGATCTTCAGGCTCCGCCTGGAGGCTGGCAACAGTGTTCCCCTTAAGCTGGGCACGTGAGCGGCCGCTCATTGACACAGGAAGCCCTGCTCAGCAGCAATCTGGAGCCACACAGAATCTTGTACTGCCCATTCCCCATTTTAAGATGCCAGCAGTTGTATTATGATCAGGATGTGAACTGCTCCGCTCAGCAGAGGAAAAAGAATTGGAGGGAACATTGGCTGGCAACCCTCGGGGCTCCCCCCACCCTGCCAGGCTCACCCATGCCAAGCAGCCAGAGGAGCTCTAGCTGACGGGTCCCCAGGCCTTCGCCTCTCCTGCCATCCTGTCCAGGGCTATCACCATCCCGATGGAGAGACCGATCATTGGGCAGACCTTCAGCTGGCAGAGACGATGGTTCTACAGCCGGCCCATCTTGGCACCAGCCTGTAATGGCTGTATGAGTCACTCCCAACACTACACAGCTACAGCCTCCCCCCCCCCCCCACACACACTCAATCAGAGCTATAATCCCCCCGCCACCTCTGGAGCTGAGATTCCCCCCCACAAACCTAGAAAGCCAAAGTGACCAACCGGGATACACACAACAGCCGACCATTGAGGGGGATACAACCAATGTTCCCTCTAAGCTGTGGAGTCCTGTGAGCAAAAATTCTACTTTGTGAGCTACTGGCATCAAAGTTGTGAGCAGGTGATTTGGCTACTGCATAAATTAGTTTGCTCTGGAGCCGTCCTTCCTGAGCTAAGGCAAAAATGTGTGAGCTGGAGGCTAAAAAACTGTGAGCTAGCTCACACTAACTCAGCTTAGAGGGAACACTGGATACAACTCAGGGCATGCACACCCCTCGTGGCTCCAAACTAGCTGGAAAAGAGCTGGAAGAAGGAACCTCCCTCCCCGCCCACAGTTTCAACCGCCCTGCAGCCGAGGTGCTCACCCCGTTTGGCCTGGGCCTGCCGGATCCGCCACACCGTCTTGTAGACCTCAAAGTTGTAGTTCGAAGGCAGGGCTCCCACGGCTGCCTGGAGATCTGGGTCCGATAGGATCTCTTGGGGGATCTGGTGAGCTACTTGACGCCGGGCCTTGCGGGCTGCAAGAGAAGTGAGGTGAGGGCCATGCTGCAGATTACGCCCAAGTGGACCACACCCCTTCCTGCTCGCTCGCTCTCTCCCCACCTTCACTTCCAACTGCTGGCAGAGGTTACTCAGTGGCAAGGGGCTGGACAGGGTCAACCTTGCAAGTGCAGAGAAGCCCAGCTGGATGGCTTGACCACCTGTTTCTTAAGCTCCAAACTCCCAGGCAAGGAGTCTCAAAGCCCTGGAAGGTCTTGCCTAACTGGTGGCCAAGCATCATTAACACAAGACTCCCCATTTGACCTGGAGTCACTACCCCCAGCCATTAATGTTTCAAATCCCTTGTTTTTTTCTCCCTACCCCACCCCCTTTGCTCTCATTACAGGGAAACTACCACGAAGAAAAGGAAGAGGAAGAAGAGGAGGAAGAAGAGAAAGAGGAGGAAGAAGAGAAAGAGGAGGAAGAAGAGGAAGAAGAGGAAGAAGAGGAAGAAGAGGAAGAAGAGGAAGAGGAGGAAGAGGAGGAAGAGGAGGAAGAGGAGGAAGAGGAGGAAGAGGAGGAAGAGGAGGAGATTGGATTTATACCCCACCCTTCACTACCTGAAGGAGTCTCAGAGCGGCTTACAAACTCCTTTCCCTTCCCCTCCCCACAACAGACACCCTGTGAGGTAGGTGGGGCTGAGAGAGCTCTGACAGAAACTGCTCTTTTTCAAGAACAGCTCTGACAGAATTATGGCTTGCCCAAGGTCATCCAGCACCTGCAAGTGGAGGCGTGGGGAATCAAGCCTGGTTCTCCCAGATTGGAGTCCACACACTTAACTGCCAATCAAATGGCCAGGCCGGATTCAGAGGCAAGTTTCAGAGTCATCAAAACATAGATACAAGATCGTGCAAAAGCTGGAAGCCCCGCCCCGTTCACCCACAGCCAAGGCCGCAGAGGCTAAGAGCCCTGATGCAGCTCCTCTGCTGGTTTTCTTTTGGGTGGGTGCAAGAAGAGGTAGGAGGTGAGATTTCATTTGGGCCTCCATATAAAACATCTCTTTTCAGCTCTGGGATGAAGACGAAGAAGAAGAGTTGGTTTCATACCCCGCCCTTCACTGCCCGAAGGAGTCTCGAAGCAGCTGACAATCTCCTTTCTCTTCCTCTCCCCACAACAGACACCCTGTGAGGTAGGTGGGGCTGAGAGAGCTCCTCTTGCGAGAACAGCTCTGAGAGAACTTGTGACGGACCCAAAGTCATCCAGCTGGCTGCATGTGGAGGAGTGGGGAATCAAACCTGGGTCTCCAGATTAGAGTCCACCGCTCCTAACCACTGCACCAAGCTGGCTCTCCAACAATCATCAGCAAGAGAGAGTCACGAGGACTGTGGATGAGAGAGAGAGAGAGAGAGAGAGCAGAGTAAGAGCCCCCAGCCAAGGAACAGCCCCAATTCTCACTCTTCTGCCAACACCTGGGGGCTCATGGGAATTCCCAGAGAGCCCCCACCTCAATTGAGGCTTGGCATGAGCAGCCCGATATCTCCCCTGCCGGCAGTAGAGCCCTACCCATGCCAGAATTTCAGGCAGATTAGACCTCACGCGAGCAGAAGGGTTCAAACTGGGGAGGACTGAGTCACCTTTGGGGCTGGGTGTTTGGTGTTCTCTCAATGGGGGGGGGGATCAAAAAGGTCAGGAGGGCACCGATGCTTTAGTCAACCAAAAGGGCAACCTGCTATTCTGGTCCCCCCCCCCCCTTTCCGCCAAAAAACGGTTTTGTGAATCAGCAATTTTACGCAGAGGACACAACTTGGCAAGGAGTAATATTTGGGGGGGGGGGGGGCAGAGCTGAGAATCTGGGGTGGTGGGGGCCTATTTATGCTTTGCTATGACTATGCCCCAATGGTGAACAGGTGCTGCTGCCGTAGGAAGAGGCCAAGAAGCAAGCAAGACTGACTCACGCACAGCCTTGCCCACTCACGGAGGAAAGCAGGCGAGCGCCGGGCCCGCCCAGCAAGCTGTTAGGTCCGACGCAACAAGAACAGGCATCACAGGCAGAAGAGGCGAGAAAGAGCTGCTCCCGCAAATCTACAGTGGCTGGACAGTATTTTGCAAGGGCGGAGGTGAAGCGGCAGCTCTGCCACAGATATTCTCAGTGGCCTTGGGCAAATTGCCCGGTGGTTCACGCTCCCCTTTCTGCTTCCGTTCCCCAACTTGGAAATGGGAATAAGAGAACATAAGAAGAGTCCTGCTGGATCAGACCAGTGGTCCAGCATCCTGTCCACACAATGGCCCAACAATTACTCTGGAGGGGCAAACAAACAGGACATAGAGGCCCAGGCCTTCCCCTGATGTTGCCTCCTGGCAGTGGTATTCAGAGGTTTACTGCCTCTGAATGTGGAGGTTCCCTTTAGCCACTGTGGCTAGTAGCCGCTGACTCCTCCATGAATCTGTCCAATTCCCTTTCAATGAGATCAGCTCACCAGGTGGTTTGAGTGCAGGATACAACAAAGAGAAGAAAAGCCCAGTGCCGATCCATGAGAGGCAACAAGGAACTTTGGAGATAGAGGACGTGTCAAACATAACTCAAGATGCCCCGCACAAAAGGTCCAAACTATTTGAAAATCCCCATAGTACAACACAGGGTTTTGAAGTGAAATATACTTATTACTATTGAATTTTTTATCCATCCCAACAAACCTGAAAGGTAGATTAGGCCAAGACAAAGGGAACAAGACTGAGCAGGTCTATTCGGAAGTAAAAACCTCCAAAGGAAGTTTAGAAAACTTATTGAGGGCCAAAAGTTAAAAACACAAGTGTACAAAAGAGTGTTTATTACAAAAACCTAATAGGGGCCCAAATAAAGCCTCATAAAATGTTCAAAATTACAAATACACACAAAAAAGGACAGTATATGACCTGAAACGTTTCGGCTCACAAGAGCCTTCTTCAGAGGTCAAATAGTGCAAAATACAACAAGCAACAGAGTCACTGTAACACATGTAAGGCAATTAACAATAAATAAAATAGGACTAAAATTGGAATGTTCCAATATGGACTTGAATGACACCCCAAAACGTTTCTGTTTGGGGCCACAAATATATCTGGCCTTGTGTCAGAAGTAGTTGTATATACTGGAACTAATATGTACCTTCCAGTTTAGGTCCTAAGAGTGCAAGTAAAACTGCCTTGTCATGAGGCTTTATTTGGGCCCTCAATAAGTTTTCTAAACTTCCTTTGGAGGTTTGTGCTTTGTTGGTTTAGATTTTCTCCCCTCTTTTATTGGGATGTCTATTCAGAAGTAAGCCCCATTTCATGCAATAGGACTTACTCCCAGGACAACATTCGTAGTATTGCAATCACTGTTACCTAAACCACCTACAACGTTTCAGAGGTGAGTGAGGATTTGAACCCAGGCCTTCTCAGACTGTCTGTCAGTTGACATATCAGCCAAAAACATTACTAGTAGTAGCAAGTTATGACCATCTAAATCACATCCCCCCTGAAAGAAAACAAACTGTATTGATTCACAGATATATGGTCAAGGCAGTAGGGCCCAAAGACTAGCATGCTTGTTCACTGCCACTGATTTGACTGTCTGGGAAAAGCGAGAATCAAACCAGGTGGCCAAGCGAGGAAGTGTTACCAACGTCATCTCTCTCTCATGCTTCCGAATCCACAGGGTAATGGGTTAGGCTTAAGCCCCTATGCCTCTTTCTAGAAACTGAACAGAGGGGAGCCTTGATTGTGAAGACCTGTGGCAGGGAAATGAGTCAGTAAAACGTTCATTGGACAAGTAACTTCTGCAACGTTCTTTCCAAGGCTGGACTTTGATATGGAGAGGAGACCAGGGCTCAGACCTGGTTCAAACACACAAGAGAAAGAGAGGAGAGAATAGACTACACCACGCTGGATTTAAAGAGGGTAGAATCCAGCTCTGAACGATCCTTCACATCAAACCACCCCTCTAAATAGTAAGCTAACACAGCAGGATGACTCCCCCTTTCCCTGTGGTAAAGGGAATTTTTAACAGAGGGGAGCGTCCCAAAAAGCGACCCTCCAAAACGCAGTCTGAAGGGGTGTAGTCCTTTCTGCCACGCCACCTCATATGCACGGGGTCTTGGATACCTCGCTAATCTCCGGTCCAGTCAGGTCTCCACTTGGGAAGCAGCGATCAGAAAGTGGCCTACTTCACAGGGCGGCTGCGGCGGCAAATCTGTTTACCTCCAGGCCTTTGGAGAAGCCCTTCTCGGCCAGCTCCTTTTTCTCCACAACACACGTGCCTGATCCAGAGTGGCTCCCCACTTACCTGGGGCCGGAGCAGAAGAGCAGCCTCCCGCTTCCGCGACAGCCGAATCCTCCATGGCTGCGAGACCCACGTGGAGCCGAGAAAGGCAGCGCCAATAGAGCGCCGAGCGCGAGAGCTAGGCAGAAGCAGGAGCCGGCCGAGCGCATCGAGAAGGCGCCTTCTGCCTCTTCTCGGCCTGCAGGACTCGACCCCGACCGAATTTCCCCGGGCGGGCATCTGTTTCAAGCCCTCGGGGCGCAGCCCTGGGTTGATAAGCATCAGTGGTCCCGAGCAGAAGCATCGGGCCTTTCTCCCTCCCTCGCTTCCAAGACACAGGGCAGTGGATGAGTCTGCGCCCCGGCACCTCTTCGGAGAGATTAAACACCCCGCGCAGCCTTGCTGGGCGAACATGGGGCTGGTAGGTGGCCCTGTGCAGGGAGAGAGGGGCTGGCGGCGGCGGCACCGTTTCTTCTCGCCAGGTCCAGACGTGAGACGCCGCGCCTGCCAGTCCTCTCTCTCTCTCTCCTCCTTTCAGTCGCATACCGAGGTCCCCTGAAGCCTGTGGCTGGTCCTTCCTTATCTGTGTTTGCACGGCTCAGATGTATGCGGAATGGAGGATCTGGAGCCAGGCGGCCGCGGCACCCGTCCCCTCCAAGGGGGGGCTGCAGCCAAAGATCGGCCTCCCATGGTGCCAGCTGGGCCCTGGCATCCCCTGCTCCTTTCGCCAGCCGCTGCTTCTCGCCAACCTCGCCCCCTCGTTTCAATTAGGGATGCCACCCTCCCGGTGGGACCTGGGGATCCCCCGGAATCACAGCTTGTCTCCAGACTACCGAGATCAGTTTCCCGGGAGAAAATGGGTGCTCGGGAGGGTGGGCTCTGTGGTCCCTGGCAGGGGCAGATTAACGATTAAGCAGACTAAGCACGTCCTTAGGGCACCAGGGCCAAAGGGGGCACCACAAAGTTGGGGAAAGGGTGAAAAGAACTTTATGTAGCCCAAGCCTGGCTTAGTTTGTACAGTATATTGTGTTATCCGATGAATAAGTTTTTGTATTGCTGCAACCTGCACTGTCTATCTGGTCAGACAGGTCAACGACTAAAACGGACTGGGTCAGTGTGGAAAGGAGGGGGGCACCAAGATTGGCCAGTGCTTAGGGCACCAGTGAGCAGTGTTCCCTCTAAGCTGAGTTAGAGTGAGCTAGCTCACAGGTTTTTAGCCTCCGGTTCACACATTTTTGTCTTAGCTCAGGAAGGAGGGCTCTGAAGCAAACGAATGTATGCAGCAGCCAAATCGCTCACTCACAACTTGAAGGCCAGTGGCTCACAATGAAGAATTTTTGCTCACAAGTCCCCACAGTTTAGGGGGAACATTGCCAGTGAGCCTTCATCAGCCCCTGGTCCCTGGCCTCCCCAGGCTCCATCCCTAAATCTCCGGGACTGGGGTTTCCCAACCCAGATCTGGCAACCCCAGTTTCATTCCAAGGGCCTCCCGGAGGACGGAGGGCCTCTTTCTCAGGACAGGAGACAGGGGGTCTGTCTTCTCTGGAAGGCACGTGGCAGCACCTAGCAGTCCGGGCCCTGATTTGCCTGGCCACCTGACTGCCTTTTGCCGGCTCCAGCTCCGCAGCAGGAACCTCAGCACCGAGGTGGCGCGACTCAGAAACGGGCGCACACGGCGGTCCGGGGAGTCTCTCGGCCCTTGCCAGTCGCCCAGGGGCAAACACCCCGCCCGCGGCCAAGCTTCCCGAATGGCACCAGCGGCCCATGCCTCCCGTGCTGCACAACGAGTGAGCCGGTGCGGTCTAAGAGTTCGAGCGTCAGACCAGGATCTGGGAGGCGCAGGTTCGAATCCACCCACACTGCCAAGGAACCGTGCTGGGTGTCCTCGGGCCAGTCACAGACTCCCGGCCTAGCCAACCTCGCAAGGTTGTCGTGAGGATAAAATGGATGAGGGCAGAAAGCCACTTCGGTCCCGCATTGGGGAGGAGAGTGGGCTATAAAGGAAGTCAATGCGGATAATCCGTAGCCCACCTGGCTCCCCCAAGGCCCCTCCCGTTCCTCTCCTCCCGACGGCCCAGACTTCTTTTTGCGGTACGCTCAACCCCCCACCCCAATTTCGTCCAGCCTCTCTGCAAACGGGCAAGGGGCGTTTCCCACCCTCTGTGGCCCAAGCCGCAAGGCCTGCTCGGAAGAACTCCCCCAGCCCAGTCTCTAGCACGGTGGGTTGGTCCCCCCCCCATGATGTGGGCCCCTGCCGGGCGCCAGTTCCCCTCCCTCCGGAGCTGCGCCCCTCCGCAGGCGGCCTTGCCTGCTGCCCTGACATTTTCGGGCGTCACCGGCGCCTGAGTAATGCCCGCCGCCTCCCCCTGGCTGGTCAGGCCCCGGCCACGCGTGGGCTCCTCCTCTCGCGCCCCACCAACCCGGGCGGCTCTGCCTCGCTCGCCCGTCACCCCCCCTCCCGCTCTGAGAAGGGCTGGGGGAGTGCCAAGGCGCCCCCTCGCCCACACGCCTTCCCCCCTCCCCAGCTGGCCTGCTCCGAGGGCCGGGATCCGTGCCAGGCGCGCAGCGTCGCGCGTCCCAGCGCCACCCCGGGTCGCCTCGCATCACCCACTCGGGCACAAGAGAGGAGACGCCTCGGATCTTCTATGCCGCAGGGCCCGCGGCCTGTCCTGTGAGATCCCCCGCCGGAGAGCGGCCTTCGCTCCCCTTCCGCAAGTAACCAGGCATGGCACACCCGGTCCCCGCACAGTGGGCGACGGCCTTTCCTTTATCCAGGCCTTCCTTCTCGGGTTACACGCAATGCAGGGACAGCCGAACGTGTGGTTGTAAACCCCACGTTTCTCCAGGGGTCGGTTCCCGGTTTCGTTTGCAAAACGAAGGTTCCCCCGGCGCTTTCTTTTTAGGAACAGGTATGGGCGGCTAAGTGGTTAAGACGCTGAACTGCAGGCTGTGGAAGGTCGGTAGTTCAGCAGTTCGAGACCCGAGCTGCCGCATCACGGAGTGAGCTCCTGTCTCTCGTTCCAGCTCCTGCCAGCCTAGCAGTTCGAAAGCAAGAAATTGCAAGTAGATAAATAGGTACCACTTCGGTGGGAAGGTAACAGCGTTCCGTGCGCCCGGCCACATGACCACGGAAACGTCTTCGGACAGCGCTGGCTCTTTGGCTTTGAAACGGAGATGAGCACCGCAACCCTAGAGTCGGAGTCGACTGGCTTTCGAGCAAGGGAACCTTTACCTTTACCTTTATGGGCGCCTTCCCTGTGGCATGTGAGCAGGGAGACTGAACCAGACTGGGGGTCCATCAAGGTCAGTGTCGTCTACTCAGACTGGCAGCAGCTCTTTTCAGGATCTAAGGTCTTTCACGTCACCCGGTCTGGTCCTCTTAACTGGAAATGTCGGGGATTGAACCTGGGACCTTCTGCACGCCAAGCAGAGGCTCTGCCGCTGAGCCAGCACCCCTCCCCCCCAAAAAAAACCCCGAACCAGAATGGGCCCAGGCGGCTCTGGAGAGGGAAGTCGAGGGGCCCCGATCCACTAGAGCCACTCTTGCGGATCCCTAGCAGCACAAGGAACGGAGACCCCCGTCGCAGCCTGACCAGCCAAGCCGGTCCCCGGAGCCACGTGGCCACGCGCCCCCCTCCGCTGATCTGCTCAAGCGAGACCGGCGATCGCGCAGCCAAGAGTGGCCGCGAAAGCCGCGCATCCCTGAAATAGCTATTTCAGGCCAGCTAACTGCGAGGGCCAGGCCGGGGCGACTGCCCGTGTTCAGCGCCACTCTGGACACTGTCGCTCCCTCCGCCGCCCTCCCGAGGGGCACCTTTAGTCCCTGGCTGAAGGTCTGCGCGGGAGGACTGCCCCGGAGGCGCGATCCATCGCTCGCTGCGTCCCTGGCCAGTCCCTGGGCGGCACGCCCGGGGGGGGGGTCTCCGCACGCGCGCAGGCCCTGCACGTCCGCTTGTGCCACGCGGAACTCAGCCAGGGGAAGGCCCGCTCTGCATATGGGGGGGGGGGGTGGCGGGGCCAGGGAAAGGGAGGCAGGTTCTCCAGGCACCGAAGACCGGGCCTTGGGCCGCGGGGGACTCCTTCCGGGCCCAGCGATGCTCGGGGGTGCGGAAGGTTGTCAGGGACAGCTGGCTTGGGAGGAGGCGGGCAGGGGCGAGCAGGGGGCTCTTCCCGGGAGCAGATAAGAACACAAGAACATAAGAGACGCCGATGTTGGATCAGGCCAATGGCCCATCCAGTCCAACACTCTGGCACACAGTGGCCAGAAATACCAGTGCCATCAGGAGGTCCACCAGTGGGGCCAGGACGTTAGAAGCCCTCCCACTGTTGACCCCTCCCCACCAAGACCGGGTTGTTGTGCGGATGACAGGGCGCTGTCCCGGGACGAAGTGCTGAACCTGCCCCCCGCCCGCTCCGGTCTGGCTTGAGCATCACTTGCCCCAGATGTTTCCGGCCACCCCTGAACGCTGCCTCCCCGGCCACTGGAACCGGCCTGCGGCAGATCCCGAGCCCCGAAGCCAGCTGGTCAGACGGCCTGGTTTGCCTTCGGGGCCGAGGACTGGACGTGAGCCCGGGCAGCTGGAGAGGGAGTCTCCTTGGCCCTGGGCAGCCTGCCTGGGGTCGCAGGGGCGAGAGAGGAACGGCAGGCGCTGTCCTTTCCCTTTCCCGGAGCTTCTCGAAAGGGATGCCCCGGGTCATCCGAGAGACCCTCTCCGGAGGTCCAGGCCTCCCCCCCGTGGGCTCCGGGCTCTGCTCCGGGCAGTTCGTGGCCTGAACCTGAGCTTAGGCTTCTGCGAAGTGGGTCAGGTCGGTGATCTGTAAGGCGGATCTGTACGCCGGAGCGGGCGGGGGGCAGGTTCAGCACTTTGTCCTGGGACAGCGCCCTGTCATCCGCACAACAACCCGGTGAGGACGGCCATCCGGCCGTCCTCACCGGGTTGTTGTGCGGATGACAGGGCGCTGTCCCAGGACAAAGTGCTGAACCTGCTCCGGCTCCGCCAGCGGCGCCCCGCCCGCTCCGGCTCCTCAGGGTCCCGCTTCTCCACCCCCGCCCCGACGGGAAGCGCAAGGTTCCCTCTCTGGCTGCGGAAGGCGCCCGCTCCACCTCCTGGCTGCCCTCCCGCGATCCGGAGCGAATGGCAGCCGGCCTCCGCGGAGAGGTGCGGGACGCGACGCCTCCTCCACCGGCGGGGGTCTCCGCCTCCCCTCAGTCCCCGGGACGTAGGAGGGCGGGGGGGCCCTCGCCTGCCCCGTGGGCCTCGCCGGAGCGGAGGGCCGAGAAGCCTCCCGGGGGCGGCGGGAGGGGCGTGGTGGGTCTCCCCCGGCCCCAATGGAGCGGGCGGGAGGCCCATCCGCTCCGGCTGGTTTCCATGGCAACAAGAGGGAGAGGGGCTCGTTGTTGCGTTGCTATGGCGACCGCAGATGTCTGTCAAGGCCCGCCGCGTGCCGCGCCCGCCCCTCCCCGGGACTGACCCGGCTTGGGCTCGGCCGGACCCGGTTGGAAGGTGGGGACAGAGGTGAAACACGCACACACACACACATACACGCTTTCCCCCCGAGGTCCCGCTGCCCTGCGCTCAAGGGACGGGGCGGGCCGGCCGGCCTCTCCGTCGAAGTTGTCTCCCTGCCACGCCCTAAAGCCCCCGGGCCGGTTCTTTGTCCTGCCGGAGAAGCAAGTTGCCTCCGGTGGACGAAGGCGGCCGTCCCGTTCCCTGGACCGTCGGTGCGCGCCGCGGGTCCCCTCCGAAGGCTGGCCCGTCCCCGCCGCGCGCACCTGGCCGGAGCCTCCTCCCCGCCTCCCTCCCC